AGATATAATTTAAGTTTGAGAACAGTTTTATGCTTCCACTCGAAAACTATTGTAAACTTCGGGTAGACTCAGAGTAAACATGAAATTCAATTTAAAGAATCATTTTCTTATTTTTAGAGCTTTCGATCACTTGTTTACGACAATCCAAAAGACACTACACTTTGGAGTACTTTTTGGAGTCGTTTTCATTTTAGGAGGAGATCTCAGACTTCGAATGAAAGCCAATTAAAACTCATATCTCATTAGTCTATGCAATAGTGTTAAAGAAATTTAAGACAATTTAAGAGTGGCTTAGAAGACCTGGTGGTTGCGGCTGTGTTTGTGGCTGTGTTTGGGGTCCATTGCTTTGAGCGGTTGAGCGCACGATTGACCGGTGGGGCAGTCAATGTAGTGTTGGCTACTGTCGACTCAATTTCTACGGGTTTGGCACCCATTGGTATTGGCATTGGCTTTCTTTGCAAAGCGTTGGCCGAGGGCTCTGAAGGGGCCCGGAGGAGGGGCCCGGGCTTACGGCCTACTGCTACCGGCACTGGCCTTTTCCTGGACCAATCAATACAGGACAGCACTTATTATATGACATTCTCTCATTATTCAATTGACAAACACTGATAACAGTTAGATAATTATATTTAGATCTACACCAATCAAATTCAATGCTATTTATGAAGTCTTTTTGGATTAAAGGCATTGTTTTTTGAGCAATAAAATTGAAATGTATGAACAGAAATGAAGGCATACCTGGTCTCATCCATACTAACGGTGTCCAACACATAGGCTGCATATTGTAATGTCTTCTGGAGAACACTGTTGGGTATTGAGCCGTGTTCTAAATGGTTCGCCAACTCTCGGAGCCTACAGTATATACACAATATGTTCAATATATACATCACACCATCACTGCATCGTTATATGAATCAACATCATTTCAATCACACACTTCACCACTTTATATGATTAATTATTTTCGCAAATAATTTATTATTATTCTCAACATTAAATTAATTCTTTTTGCTAATTCTAGTTTTAATATTTATTTTACGATATTTCAAATATATTTCTGGTACAATATATAATTCTTGGTACTTTGTGTACAAAACATATTTTTATACAGCATAATTTATTATGTAATTATGTGTAGTCAAATAATTTGTAGTTTGAATATATTTATTAAATTAAATTTTTATCCCAAATCGTATATAATATTTTATTTTATTCAAAGTCATGTTCAGCATTAATATTCATTTAATATCTAAATCTCCAGAGAATTATTAATTAATGTAAACTAAATAACATTAATATAAAAATTTTTGTTTTAAAAAACATGATAAAACTAAAAAATGAGTTTTTAATGTTCAATTGTAGCCGNATTCATTTAATATCTAAATCTCCAGAGAATTATTAATTAATGTAAACTAAATAACATTAATATAAAAATTTTTGTTTTAAAAAACATGATAAAACTAAAAAATGAGTTTTTAATGTTCAATTGTAGCCGGTTAAACATTTTAGTGATTTATTTATACATAAAAAATAATCCGATTTAATTTAAAGATTTTAAAGTAAATTTTTTCATCGCGAGTAAATAAATAAATACTTTATTCAAAATAAAGTCAAATAAATTTCTTTTAATGTTTCTTATTATTATAATTAAAACCCGAGGCGTAAGGGAAAAACTATACTATACTATACTATACTATAGAAAATCTATACTAGCATTACATTTGCGATTCTTATGCATAACATAGTTATGAAATTCGTAGAAAAATATATATTTTGAATATTATATTACATTTCTATTTGATTGTAAGCTTTTAATTAACAAAATTTAAGAATATTCTATATGTTTAGACTTTTTTGGAAAATATTTCTCAAAGTTATTGATTTTATTTTGATGTATGTTTGAGAGCACCTCTAATTCAAAATCAAATTCTTAAAAATCTATTCCTGTTTTGTTT